TTTTGAATAATCGTTGGTTCCCTGAAGCCCCGTGAAATCTGCTCTGACATAACTCAGACCTGCAGGGCAGCGGGGGGGGGGGGGGTTGCTTTCCATATTTCCTTCCCAAAGCTGACTGTAAATGTGCTCTTAGGCCAACCATGGACAAAACTGTCCTTCCAGTGGGGACACCTATTTTCCTTTGGGGGAACACTTTTGTAAGACGCATTGTGCTTCGCTGTACATTTCTCTTTGTGAGGAACATTTTTCTCCTGTCACCATCTTTGAAATCTTACCTGTGAAGTTTTCATGTTTTTTTCATGTTTTTCAAAGTGGTAAAACTTTAAATAAAATACTTAATTTTGATCAGCAAGAATTGCCACAAAGAGATTCAGCCAAAAGACTTAAGAGATAACAGTTAAAAATGTATGAACACTGATTATCACTCAAAAAGCATGTATTAGGTCTTATCTATTTTGGTCACCAATTCTGCTAGGTGGTGAACAAACAGAGATGAAAGGGAAGCCTGCCTCATGAAGCCCATGTCAGAAACGGACCCCACAGGCTCCGTGAAGGGGGAACAGACACAGGGGCTGCAGGGACAGAAAAGAGGGGCTTTCAGTCCCACCCAGCTCGGAAGTCTTCCTGGAAGAAGAAGACCCTTTGCCTGAGCACGGTATTTGAATGCTTATTAAATGAAATCAGGGCAAAGGGCATGAACATCCTCAGCACGAGGGCAGGCAGGTACGCAGGCCCGCAGGAGCGACAGGCCCTGGCTTCTTCCAGGCTTTGAGACGGGATGGCTCAGGAAGTGGCAGGTGTCATGGGCGGACCTGGTATGCCATGCTAACAATTAGGATTTGTACTGAAGGCAATAGGAAGGCATTGAAGAATTTTAAGAAGGGGGTAGCAAGAGTTCATAGCAAGGAGAGAGGAAGGTCATAGGCACAGAAAAATAGACCCGGGGGAAACACTTCAGACTAGTCATTCATTTAACAGTTAGTTAAGGCTGGAACTTAAAAGTCAGATAATAGTATAGAAGCCAGATAAGAAATATTTGTTTAAGTTTGTCAGCTTTAATGTGTATTTAACTTGGATGGTTTAACTTCGTGTCTTTGAAGACATTACTTGGGTGACAAGTAAAGTAATTCATTATTGAGGTTATTTGTCAAGGTTTCTAACAAAGCACTTGTGGCATTTCACTGTTAGCGATCAATAGTCAAGTTAAAGAATAACTGGTAATAGAAGTAGTAACCGCTGGTAGAAACGGCTTAGTCGAAACCCAAGTGACAAAGTGAAAATGTAAATGTGTTAACAGAAAAGAACCTCAATATAAATCACAAGGGGAGGCCTAGAGCCAGTTTTATTCATGAGTACTCTTTCGTGAAATGTATTGGGCAAACACACCAAATAAATAACAAACCAAAGATTTTAAAAATATAGCAAAGGCCAGAATTTGGCACTGTGTTAATTGTATCAACATCCTATTGCAAAGGTCAATCACGTGGAGTGAATCGATCGGATTGTAAGAAGATGGGCAATTTAAATAACTGAGACAAATGACACTGTTCATTCAGCATAAGCACTCCATTTGAATTAGTCTAGCTGTAAAGCATTATCTTATTAAATATGATATAAAAATACTGCAAGTCGATTGGAAGCAAAGCTTAATTATTTCAAGAAAAGAAATGACTGAAACTGAGACCTAATACAAACTTGTTTTAACTGAATATTAGACTGTGTGACCAAAGATAATATACGGTAAAATATCAAAGGCTCTCTTTGTTTTAATACAGCTCTACCTCCCAAGAAGGACAAGCTCCAATAAATCTTTCAAACAGAAAACGGGGAAGGGGCGGGGAGGGGAGAAGTCACTCTAAAGCATAAACAACGTCCTTAAAATTACACACACTCAGGTTAACACCGTCTCCAAGTATAAGCAGATACTGCTCTCTCCGACGGAGAGTTTACTATTAGGGGTATTTTCAAAAGCAAGACACATTGAGTAAACAGCGGAACAAAGGAGAACTATTTTATCCCAGGGCCTGTGCACATGTGGGACCCGTTAAGGGGACGGTGGCTGGAGAACGAACTCCAAACGAGGGAGAGACACCTAGGCTGTCTCGGAGGGGCAGGGATACGCAGAGTGGGCCAGAGATCAGTCGGATGGAGGGAGACAGATGGTCTTTTTGGTTCCAAAATGTTCAAAGTGAAGGGACACTCCTTACCACACTTTATTTTATAACAGAGTGGATGAAGAGGAAACCAAGGGCCTGTCAGACTTTTTCGGGAGTCCCTTGTGTCATTTCGTCGTCGATAGGCTTTGCTAGTCTATGGAATTCGCTGGCTGCCTTCTCCAAACCGAGGCCCTCGCTTGGCGTGCTCTCCATAACCCTTCGCTTGCAATTAAAAAATGTGAATGAATTCAGAGTAAGGCTCCTATTTACACTGTACGGTTATCAACGTTAGGTTATCTTCCTCGGAAAATTTCCGGGAAAGATCCATATTTTCCGACAAAGTGCAGTGCTTGCTTGTTTGCCCAGTTTAGGACAAGTCTGACTATGAAGATGATCATAGTCCCAGCCCGTTAAAACATTATGGACACAGATGAGAATGGTGAAGTTGCCTTGCGTTGGCCCAGTGAAATGATGATTCGAGGTGCCACGCTCCCCTGCCTGGCCCCCACAGGGAAGACGAGTTCCCTAAGGTACTTCACAGATCCTGCGCGGCTGCGGATATTCCCACTCGCTAACCAAGCCCACAGAACTCACAGGGCCTTCTCCTGGGCACCACGAGAAACAAAAAGCAAGCAAGAGAAACACTTCTTTGAAGAGCTGAACTGCTAATGGAGAAACCAGACTAAACATCTAGTAACATGCAAACATGGTAAAAATGAAAACACACATATCAATTCTGTGTAACCAGTGGGAGACTGCACAGAAACTTGGCCCAACCAGGTCAGCACGGACAGAGCAAATGACAGGCTTCACGCACACTCCACCCGGCCAGGCGCAGCTGCCCGAGGCTCCGGGCCGGGGCATACACATAGACGACGCAGTGGTCTGCAAGGCACAAGTAAGTCCTGACCAGAATGGCCACCTGAGTCCTTGGCATTCTGGCTTCTGTACTGTGGTTGGGAGCTCACGATCACCTGCACTTTTCACTGGGCTATTTATAAAGGAAAGTTTGTGAGAGGAAGACCTACTGGTAGGTATCCTAGAAACCAGTTTATCCCACAGGAGAGCAGTATGCATCCAACAAGAGAAAACACATGAAATGCCTATAATATATAACATACACTGACAGAATTATGAAAACAGTTTTAACTATTTGTAATATACCAAAAAAAGTCCTTTTAATTTTTATATTCACTTATAAATTTATAAACAAAAGTCTGTCTTCAATTAAAATTAATATCTAAGGACTTATGCCATACTATTAATCTAATTGACCAAATGATTCCCCTTAGGTACAATGAAAAGAAAACATACAGATGCAAACATTGCAGATACACCATCTATGAGGACAATTAGAAGAAGACAAGACTAATTGATCCAAAAGGTGTGGTTCATATACCTTACTGGGAATACGTTTTACTTTCCCTGTTATTTCTGAATCCTGCCAAAAAAACCTACTCATGAACTTGAATGACAAACAGTGCTGATTTAAACATAAGGAGGCACGACAAATAGACGGCAAGCCAAGCTTTATTTCTGGGTTGCTAAAGGCAGAATGTACTAAGGATACTCTTTAAAGTCAGAGAGATGCCAGCCAGAAAAAAGTGGCTTTGGAGACAGGCCTGAGTTCAAATACTGACTTCACCACTGAATAGCATCGTGACTCTGGGCAAATATCTCAGCGTACTGACCTTTCCCTTCTTTACCTATAAAACACCTAACCCCTCCCTTAAAGGTTATTGTGGGGAATTAAAAAATGCAAGGTGCTTCATACAGAGGCTGACACGGATGCACCAAGGACTATGGCACAGGAGCACCAGGGAGCACCTGGACAGACAGAGTACAACTTCCCGAAACAGAGATGACTCTGGCATTTGTTCTAAGATGAACTTGACATTTTGCCAAGTTCATTAAATCTAGATGAGTGGCAGGTAATGAATGACATTTAAGGAGCTAAGTAATTCACACCCAAAAAAAAGAGCTTAATAACTATTTTCAATATTTCTTCTTGTTTCTTCTAAATCAGATAACTATTTATCCAATTTAGAATTTAATTTACACTTACTGTCTAGCCCAGTGGATCCCAACTTTGCATTTTAGAATCACCAGGGAAACACTTAGAAAACGCAGCTGCCAGAGTTTTGCTGTAATGTGTTACACTGAGGCCTAGGAACCAGTTGTTGAATGACACTCTCTTGGAGTCCAGCCAGGGCCTAGAACCACACTTGGATGATCTCTAAAACACAGCCTCACCAATCCTGACTTAAGAACCTTCCAGCCTACTCAAGGTTTTGGCCAGTATTACCAAATCACTCTTTTCTTTATGAAGCAAAGGAAGCTAAAAATCATATAATCAGTCAACAGAGTTTGAATGGAAAGAAATTCATAAGATAATAATTCAACAATCTTTTTAAGATGAAAAAAAATGGGCATTTTTGCTTGGATAAGATGAGCCATGGGTTATAGCAGATTTCCAGTACAAACATGCAATAGAGAAAGGTATCTTTTAAAAGCCTTTCTTCTACAGTTATCCTTTTCCTTTTCATTTTGAAGGTATACAAAGCCAACAGAACTATCTGAAAGGCAGACTTGAGGCCATTTGGATTATGTGGTTTCCCAATTCCATGGAAATCTGATATCGTCCTCTTTTAAAGAGAGCCACAGTGATTGGAGGATTGGTGGCCAGATCAATTCTCATGGAACGATTCCAATGCCCCTCTGTACCACTGAGCGACCCTGAGCAAGTCACTTAACTGGTCTCCAGTCTAATGCGTCCTCCACACAGTGCAACCAGCACAGAGTTCCGAGGTTCTAGGGTCAGCATCATTTCCATCAGCAACTTACCAGTGTACTGCCATCAGTCCAACGGAAGTCATGCTCAAACATCTTGTCATTGAGGCCTATCCACTGGTAGTCATGGCCTACACCTAAAAGATGGTAAATAATAACATGGATGTTTTTATTACCTTTCCAATATGTGGATGAAATACATTTAAAAAATGATTCTCAGAGTGATTCAGGCATCCTCTTTTCGGGCTGAATTTTTTTTAGTTGCTCATAAAAATATTTCATGGTCTGACCATCTTTTGTTCTTTTGCCCAATGTGCTTTAAACTAAAAAGCTAATTTGCAAACATTGTGAAACATTAAAATATTAGACATAGACAATTATTTTTCTAGCCATTTATTACCATTTGAATGGTTTTCTTCATCCTTACTCATGATAGAAACTTTCGATTTATTTTTTTTATTAAGTTATGCCATTGGCAAAAAATCCAGTGACTCAATAAAACATGACAGAGCTCACCCATGCTAGCCTCGTGTTGGAAGCCACATGTTCCTTCTCAAAGCAGTTTAAACAGTGAATACCTAGACCAGACACTTCTGCAAAAACTCCTCAAAAATAATGGCTTTTGCCCTAAGATGAGTCACTGGCAAGCATACCATGTAAAAAAGTTAAATGGAACTCTATCCAGATCGCAAATTAACAATCAAATTATTGAAAGCTAGCAGGCATCATGAGAACATATTTAGTTGAGCATCAAAAAAATGCTTCATGAGCAAAATAAGTCTACATATTTTCTACATAAAAGCTAAGCTGCCTTCCTCTTTGCTGTAGTTTTAAGAGTTAGTAAACAGCTCTGGTGGTACGGTTCCCAAGCATTGTCTCCATCTATTCGTAATCTTAATATGAAGTCCAATTTCTATGGTGTAAAATAATTAGAAACTTGGATAAGAACCAATTATGCACAAAGGAAAAGAATAGGGTGCTATTAGCAATTCCATTTTAATTACTGGGGCAAAAATAACTGAAAGCAATTTCCTCTTTAACATTAAACGACATACGCATTATTCAAAATAGAGATCACGAGGGTAAGGATCGGAAGAATTAGATTAAACCACAAGAGGCAGTCATTTTTATAAGTCGAAAGCTGATCAGATAGCAATTTCATAGGATTCAATCTACAGGACGCTGTTTTGTCTCCTACTGCTGGCAGACCAAGAAATGCCTTCCTCGTTTTAGCTCGGTGTCTCCCAAAACGGGGGCCTCATACAGCAGAGAAGATTTTAAGTTGTTCGCAGATGAGGGATGTAATAAGTTCCATCACAACTGAGACAGCGACCTTTTTTTAGTCAGACGAAGAGAAAGGCAAGAAGGTGGGGAGAAGGAATGAAGCTTCGGGAAACCAGTGTACATTTGATACGTACGATTCACGAACATTTGCTCTTCGTGAGACAGGATGCTTGTGAGGTGGGCGCCCTGCAGACGGCATTCCCGTTCGGCTGCATCCCATGTGCGGCGATGGGCGAAGTACTTGTAACACTGCCCTTGGAATTTGTGCCAGCCGTACTCACACGTCTCGGTGTCTGGGAGGAAAGAAGGCAGAGGCTTAGGAACCTCACCTACATCATTTAAACTTGCTCACCGATCCAAGTGCGAACAGCAGACCCACGGCAATGGCAGTGCAACATCCCTGAAGTAAGATTCATAAAATGTGGTCATGAGGACAAGGAAGTCACGATGAAGGGAGCCCACGTGATTCCTGCCAAGGGGGTGGCTGTGCAGGTGCTCAGAGAAGATCTTGTCGTTTGTTCGACTTTGTTTTGTTATAACGAAGATGAGATGCTGTAGGAACTTAACTCTTGTTTATATCAATTAGCCTATGGTCAGACACAGGCCTGATACCACTAAGCTGAGATAAAGACGTCATTTCACTTACAGTCTCAGAACCTATGGAGGACATTAAGTGAGAACTTACTGTATGTCTCTGGACCGAAAGCCAGTATCTGACTGCGATTTCCTGGACTAAAGCCAGTGCTAGCAGAGAAGAAGACTGGAACAGAGGCGCCAAACCCCTCCGGCTGCAGTGTCTGCTGATTTACTCGTGCAGCAGTTGGGGCTAATTCCTTACCAATGGAACTCCCAAAGAGCCTCGTTTAAGTGCTAAGAACTCTGGCTAACAGGGTTCTAATGCTGGCGTCGGGACTTCAGCGGTCTGGAAGTAGGGGGCATCCTGTCCCGCTTCCCAGCCAGATAGCCGGTGGCCAGTCTCTGGCTAGGTACGATTTATACAGAGGAAAAACAACCTTCACCAGTAGGCAGCTTCTGGGATACAGCTAAGGCTGCAAGCCTTCTTCCCAAAAGGAGAAGGAATATAGGTAACTACCAGTGCAAATGCATCCGAATTTTAAGTTTATTAAAAATGAAAAACAAATAAGTTCTTTAACTTCATTCCCAGTATTCCACCAAGCCATATATATACATATATGTGTATATATGTGTGTGTACATATATGTATATGTGTGTGTACGTGCACGTGTGTGTGTGTGTGGTTGTGTAATATATTTCCCCTTTCACAACAAGCAGACTATTCCCAGGATTCTGGAAGGGGGAAGACACTCCCCCAGTACATGTAAATGATACACGGCAGCAGCCTCGGGCGCTTTGCGGGTCGCCGGTCTGTGTGTTCACAGGGAAACAGCCTTGCTCACAGCATGGCATTCTCAGCGGTAATCTTCCCCCAGGCTCACCCACTCACAAGTGGGGTTAAACTCTGTGTTTAATAATAATTCATGGACATAATTTTGATTTTCACAAAACAATTCTCACAAATATATTGAACTAGTTACATGTAAAAACTAATAAAACTGTCAAGTTCATAGTATTTTAAGCACCAAGAAAAATATCCAGATTACCTAAGGACCCTCTATTCCTCGCCTAATTTTATTGCTCAATGAAGAAAACAAAACCCTACTCCATGAAATAGTGCTTGTTTGACGTATAGAATGTACAGACCTGGTGGCCGCATTGAAAGTCAGATTACCCCCTGACTCTCACTCCATTTACTTCTCTTTCTACAGCTGTGGAAAAGCCTGCAGCCTGAGAGATTACATTTATTTTTCCCTGGCTTCAGTGATTTACGTCGAAAGTGTACGACAGATGCAACTTATCTCTGAGAACAGTTTTTATTCCAGTTTAGTCCATCTGGCCAGTTGTTTAGTTGCCGCCAGCTGACTAATTGGTTTAGACCATGTGCACTGGAAGCTTTGCGTTTTATTACAGCCCTGTTTGGAGACCACCAAATCTCCTGGGAAAGGACACAAGACCCAGCTAGATGACTTGGTATAAAAGCAGCACTCAGTGCATGAGAATGAAGCATATTTAGGTTACTTGGATGCAGTAATTTTCCTTTTGGGGAATTCTCAAGGAAGAACTAAGAGCTGACTTGCAAGTGGCAGGGAAGAAACAGACCTTCACATCTGAGGGGTTAGTTTACATGGGAGGAGAACTGGGGAAATTTTTAGAAAATTCTTACTGCCAAAGTCAATAATGCGATATTATAATAGCATGGTGTTCTTGTTCCTTAACCTTGGAAATGATTGCTTGAGACTCACAGCTTAAATTTCTAGAGGATCCCTACTTTAGTGAATAATACATCACAAAAAAAATTCTTCCATACACCCTTTCTTATCTTTTATTAATCCAAATGGTTTGTCTTTTATCATTAAAATAGATTATCATTATTTTTCTGTTTACACAAAAAAACATACATGATCATACAATTTAGATGCATGAGCATATCATTGGTACGATGCCTTTCTCAGTTAGCAGGTGCATCTATTCCCATCAGAACATGGCTCCAAACACCAGGGCCAATTTCTGTTAAAACTAAATAGGGACAATGTATTTACCTACACTATATAAACTACAGCTTCCCAATGACTATAAATATATGTGCAAATACCACTTAACAAAGTGACTTTTTAAAAAAGCCAATATGCACACTGATTCATGTAACTTGTAATATTCGTGACTTCAATACATGTGTGAGAAAGGGCTGCTTGTCAAGCAGCATCTCCTAGGATATTCTTCTGGAAAGAGGTATCAGAAGCAGTCTGTTTATCCCATCTTACCTAAACATAATGTAACACACACTGCATTTATTAAAAGGCAACCCGCCCTGGCCAGTTTGGCTCAGCCTGCGGTCCAGAGAGACCCGGGTTTGGTTCCCGCTAAGGGCGCGTACCTCGGTTGCAGTTTGTCCCCAGCCTTGGTTGGGTTGTGTGGGTGGCAGCCACTCGATGTGTCCCTTTCATATCAATGTTTCTCTCTTTCTCTCTCTTCCTCCTACTCTATCTGAACAAAAAATGGAAAAATGTCCTCAGGTGAGGATTAAAAAAAAAGAAAAAGGCAACCCTTTGGGATGATACTGTCTTAAAATTCATCTGATATGGAAATACTTTGTATGCATAGACTGTGCTACAAAGCCCCAGATTTCATTGTGCCTGTGAGTGTTGGGGGTTGTGGGGGAGGGTACAAAAACTCCTGCTCATGACCACAGAAGATGAAACTATCACTCTTAAACAATCTCACACACACAAAAAAATCAATTTGCTTTATGGTATGTAGGCAATGTTTTCAACACCTCTGACATATAGCTGTCAAGTCCTAAGAAATTGTCAACACTTAGACACTTCTCACTGGCAAGCTGTACCATCGACTTTGGCTGGTGGCATCTGTGTGTATAGAACTGTCCCTCCACAGTTCGGAGACCCGCTTCTAGATCTCAAATCTGTTATCATCCCACCAAAATGTAGCCCCTGTTCCAGAGGCACTGGGAGTTGGGATGTTGCTAATTCAGAGGAGAGTACAGGTCGGCTGAAGAAACAATGACACAGTCACCACTGACGTTTGGGCAGAAAACTGTTTTAACAGCAATGCTGCTGTTAATGGAGAAAACATTTGTTCTTAGGCAACCTGAAAAGAGCAGAAAAAATCTTTCAGAGTCCTGGCAATAAATCACAGGAGCATGGCTGTATCTAGTAAACAGACCCGACGGCTGTTTCTAGCGTCGTGTGGATAACGGTTAAACTCTGTGCGATAAAGCTGGACAGACCTGGAAGGTAGGCGGCAACAGAAATGAGAGGAGAAACCGAAACCTCTTCTTTCTGACATTCCCCTAAAGGGATGGAAAAGATAACTGGCCCCAAAATCCCTCCCAAGGATGTGTTACCACTGGATCCATCAGATACACACATAAACAAAATGCTTATCTGTGAGTTACCTTAGAAGGGTAAAGATATTGAGAAAAACCTAGGCTGTAAGAGGCAGCTTAGTTCATTTTCCCACTCTCTAAAGCACTAGCTGTATGACCTTAAGCACATCCTTGTTCTTCCCTGAGCCTCAATTTCTGACCCACTTACTCCTAGAAACACCACGTCAACCAAATGAAATAATGTATCTGGGAGCACTGGCTAAACTATAAAGTATCCCACAAAGAGTATCTCTTTTTATTCCTTGCCAAGAATATGCTGTGTCACTCCAGTGCCCAGAACAGTGCCTGGAAAACAGTAGATGCTCAATAAACACCTGTTGAACAAATGATTTTTTGAATTGCTCCTTGTACTTGGAACTAAGGGGAGCAAGAATCATGTAAACATATTTTAATAAATCAAGTGTATCACTCTTTGTTTTCTTCAACAAGGGGACTCTAGTACGCTACTGATGGGAATGCAGACTGGTGCAGCCACTGTGGAAAACACTATTGTGTTACCTCAAAAAATTAAAAATTGAATTGCCATTTGACCCAATGATCCCACTTCTAGGAATATACCCTAAGAAGTCTGAAACACCAATCAGAAAGAATAAATGTACCCCCATGTTTACAGCAGCACTCTTTACAATAGCTAAGATCTGGAAACAGCCCAAGTATCCATCAGTAGGTGAATGGATAAAAAGCTGTGGTACATATACACAATGAAGTACTACGCAGCGGTAAGAAAGAAAGATCTCTTATCCTTTGAGACAACATGGAGGGACCTGGAGAGTATTATCTGAAGTGAAACAAGCCAAGCAGAGAAAGACAAATATCACATGATCTTACTTATTTGTGGAATATAATGAACAGGGTAGTCCCAGAGATGTGGAAGTAGGGTACAGACTGACAATCCTCAGAAGAGAGGGTGTGTTGGAGGGAGGGAAAAGATAAACCACAGAACTTATATGCATGTACACATAACTAATGGACATGGACAGCAAAGCTGGGGACAGGGGGGTGGGATGGGAAGGAGGATGTCAGTGAGGAAAAAAAGAAACATCTGTAACAAAAATAAATTAATAAGCCCTGGCCAGTTTTGCTCAGTGGTTAGAGCATTGGCCTGCGGTCCAGAGAGACCTGGGTTCGGTTCCCACTAAGGGCATGTACCTCGGTTGCAGTTGGTCCCTGGCCCTGGTTGGGTTGTGTGGGTGGCAGCCACTCGATGTGTTCTTTTCATGTCGATGTTTTGCGCTCTCTCTCTCTCTCTCTCTTCCTCTCTCTCCCTCCTGCTCTATCTGAACAAAAAATGAAAGAATGTCTTCGGGTGAGGAAAATAAATTTATATATATATATATATATATATATATACATATATATATATATATATAATTAAAAAGAAGAAGGAAAACAGTGAGAAAATTCTTTGGTCAATATCCATATTACCTTTTACAATTCTAAGACAAACAAATTCAACCTATGCAATAAAGAGAAAGAAAGAAAAAAAAAAACACCCAAAACTCAGCCATCAGCCTTTCCCTTTGATTGGCAATTTATTACAGGCTCCTTTCAGTTTTGCTGTTAATTGTAGTGACATCTGGATTAATGCTGAAAAGCAGAATGTAGGGCCAGACCAATGTGTCTGGATGTCTAATACATTTTCATTTTGTCTGATAGAATGGAAGTTTGGCACGAAGCACTTTTGTCAAAGCCAAATCACTGTATGACTTTAAGTAGAGGAAATCGATGTTCCAAGCTTAGTGTGCTGCACATGCAACCTGTTTCTGATGGATGGGCTGAGATGTGTTACCATTAACCACCTAAAATACACTCTCAGGTTGGCCCTAAAATGCAAATTACAGGGCTCAGGAGATTTAAGCCACCATGAACTTAGGCCTTTCTTTCATTCAGAAAAGTAAATGCTTCTTCAGTAGGAAAATCTCCTGTTGAGCAGATTCACAATATCTTTTACACAGTGTTTGCCAAGCCCAAGCTAATGTATTCAAACAACCATATAAACTCATTCTCCAGAGATGATTGACTATGCAGAATAAGCCCCTTGGGTCTCAAGCACCAAGCACTGGGGGGGGGGGGGTGAATAAAGTCAACTAACGTTGAAATCAGTACTCCTTGGTACAAACCACATACATGGATTAAGGTATATTCCTAATTTGTCCTCAGGAAGAATACATTTAACAATGTTCCTTTTGTTGGCTAGATGGTCTTAAATTCAGCTCCGTGTGCCTGTCTGCAATCGCATACTGTCAGCCAAAACAAAAATGATCAGATCAACACTATTCTTCAGATGTTGTGCATTATGGACATCTAAGGAAGCTTTGTGCATTTAGGTAACCTGTGAATTTCTTCTGCAGGAAAGAATATACAGTATGGCCAAAATTACTAAAAACATCCAAATCATTACGACAAAAGGCTATCTAGAAGTAACATTCAAAATAAAGTATCAATGAGGTTCACCAGACAAATGTCACAATAGCTCTTACCTTGCTCACAAAGGGCACCAATATAGCTGGGAAGACAGAGGCACCTGAATGTATTCAAACCGTCCACACATGTGGCTCCATTGCGACAGGGGTTAGAGTGACATTCATCATAATCTGAAATAAAATCATAAAAGGTCACAAAAGTACTTTCAAAAACAATCAAAGGATTCTATTTAGTGTGAGGTTGGCAGATAAAATACAAGATAGCTAGTTAAATTTGAATTTCAGATTTAAAAGAAAAAATTTTTAGTATAAGTGTGTCTCATGCTATATTTAGGATATACTTAAATTAAAAAAAAATAGTCTACAAATTAAATTAAATTTCCAAGCAGTATATAATGATTGTTACCTAAAGAAATGGTCTTAGTAATGATGGCATTACATAGTAATGATACCAAACACTGTTATGGTGCTTACTAAGTGCCAGCCACTGTTCTAAGAGCTTCACATGTATTCACTCATTAAATTACTTTGAATTGGCCCTGACCAGTTTGGCTCAGCAGGTGGAGCATCAGCCCATGGACCAAAGAGTCGTGGGTTCGATTCTGGTCAAGGGCACATACCTCGATTGCAGTTCAGTCCCCAGACCTGATCGGGGTTGTGCAGGAGGCAATCAATCAATGTGTTTCTCTCACATCAATGTTCCTCTACCCCCCGCCCCCCGCATTCTATCTGAAGATAAATGGAAAATATCCTCAGGTGAGGATTTAAAAAAAAAATTACTTTAAATTTAGTTGAATATAAAATGAATGAGGGCCAGATAGATATATATACACACACATACATATATATATATGTATATATATATATACATACACATGTATATATGGTGTTTAATATATAATAATTCCTTAAATATCATCTATTGCTGTATTTATATTGCCTCTAATTAGCACACAGATAGAGCTTACTAACTGTTTCTTTTTTTTTTAGGCAAGCACCGTTTTAATACAAATGTTGGGGATTTTTTTTAAAATTTTTATTAATTTATTTTTGTTACAGATGTTTCCCCTTTTCCCTCCCCTAGACCGCCTCCTCCCCATGCTGCCCCCCAAACCCCCTAGCATTGTTGTCTTTGTCCATTGGTTATGCATACATGCATATAAGTTCGCATTCTGATACTTCTAAAGAAGCACCTGGCCAACATTATAATCCATCATTTCCTTCATCAGAGATGCGGTCTATATGTAGCCAAATTAAAAATGGGGCCTTTTGTCTTTTTTGAAGAAAAGGAAACCTAAATAAGAATGGGAATAAAAGGAACTGATTTAACAAAGACACAATTCTACTCCTTGGAACTAGAAAGGGAGGAGGAGGCCAAGGAGCTCACACACCTTGAGGCAAAGGTCAGACTGGCTGCTGAGCGTAGCCAAGGAAGGTTTTTCTCATTTCACATCGGAGGGACCAGTCATCTCACCATGGAAAAGCTAAAGTCCCTAGTTTTAAAATATAGTTTTATAAAAAATTCTTGCCTTTACATTAATTGCTTATTGATATGCAGATTTGGGGGCTAGATTAAAATTTCTGTTGACATTTATGCAACTTTACATTTGTAGAAGGCTTATCTATAAAAATCACAAAAAGACGTAGCTGACCTCAGTAAGTCTCTCTGAGTCTTGTGTATTTTACAACTTTGCAGTGACCATTTGTCCCCATTTCCCAGAATTGACTTAAATTACTCTATAATTTTCACTTCATTGAACATATAATTCATCTACACATAGGTTTCTCTGAAATCCTCTGATTGATTTGAACAATATAAATTCTCCTCCAATATATCTTTTGGAAAAGCCCTACATTCTTTCAGACAAGGACATCTTACCAAGTTCACACTGGTCACCACTGTATCCTGGCACACAGGTACACACATAGGAAGTTTCAGTAGAATAGCAGGTGCCTCCATTGAGGCACGGGTTTGTTTTGCAACGATCAGGTCCTATCATGTTCAGGAAAGTAAGAAAAGCAATTAGGCCCATCTCTAACTTCCAACGTATTTTAGCATAAAATGCCACTTACTGCTACCATGATATATAAGCTTTACCGTAGCAATTTAGAGACACTACACATAAACATTAACATTAACTTTACTCTCTGGAGTGGTTCTTGGCATTATAATTAATTATTACAAATTGCATCTATTTATCTCTGAGATTCATTATTGTTCAAGAGTATTTTGCACGGTATCTGGCAACCAATATATTCTACTGCGGATTTAGTTGGCATGATAATGGCAATTGATTTTAGTCAAAAATGATTACACGTATGTGCACAGTGAATGGAAATGTATTCTTTTGAACGAGGTTAGTTCATGTGAAATGGCTGGGTACACAGAACATGCATTCTTTTAGCAGACTGGCTTGTTACCATCATTTGAATTATTATTGCCTTTTACCACTTAATGCTCAGAAACTTTTTCTTCGAAAGTGTGCACTGAAGTCTCTTCTGCTACATTAATATGCTTTTTCCAAAACCACGTTCCAAATGTACTCCTTTAAACTATACTTGAAGAAAAGCAACAAATGGATTAAACTCTACTGTATAAAAACAAACCCAAACACAAAACCTCACCTAACATAAAACCCCCCACATTTTATTACAATTTTCCTCATCGAAACACAAATAAAATCAACACTCCTAGAAGATAAATATAAAGGCCAGAGATACAAATTTATGAGGAGAAACAGTTTAAAATATTTTTTCTAAATGCAAATACTTTTACACTATTTGAAGCACATATACTATTCTGTAACAATTCTTGGATAATTGTTTTAGCATGAATAGCTTACATTTATTATTTGAATATTTTTCTAGACTTGCTTGTTTCAAAAATGTTTAAGAATCAAGATTACAGTTTAAAGTTTTACCAAATAATTGTGATAAATAGGTTATATACGAGCTACAACTTATTTTCAAGAATCTTAAGACCCAAAACCCTGAAATAATTACACATGACAAGAAGATGTCTACTTATGAGACATGAACTTACGGATTCTGAGGATAAAGAAAGCAATGCTATAGAAGATAACTGAGTCTTTTTCACATAGGAAAGTCAAACTCAAACTTTCTGAGTGTTAGGTAAATTCTGAACTACTAGAAAGACTTGATAGATTCATAGTCACATGTGTGGGTTCAACATTAGATGAATTCGGTTAATTCAGGTGCTTACACCTACTTCTTCAAAAACTACCCCAATTCTTCTAAGACTCTTTCTCCTAGAGTCTTAATAATATTTAAAATCCCCCTAACCATTTTAGCCTTCTGCCTTTCAAAGCACTCTGCCTAGACGACAAGGTTACAGCCAACAGCACATCTACCTGCTGCCCTGAGTACAAAATCAACACGACCCTTAGGAGAACGCGCTTGGCAAAACTGGGAGGGGCCACCCAAATGCGGTGTACTGTTATTCCCTCCACAGACACTAGACACCACACTGAGAGTCTGGGACAAGGGCTTGGCAGTAAAGTGGGTCTTTCTGTGAACATCAAGTAGCTTAGATGAGAAGAAAAATTTTACTTGCATGATTTTTATTCTTCCCTACACAGTCTGCATTAATCTCTGCAAGTTGAATCTTCAACAGATGGACCAGGCAACCTCATACTAGCGGTCGCTGACTGAATTCACCTAAAGTGACAGTCTGTTTTGCAAGGAAGACGCAGCTGTAATTCTAGGTAAGCACTGTAGACTGGGTAACTGGTACGCTTTTCTCGGTCATTTGTCAAACTTAATTCTCTCTCAATATACATTTAGTACCAATGATTCCTGTATCATATTTTCACCAACCTGAAGTATATTTTAACTAAATTACAAAAGGATAAATATTGGCCAGATTACTTGGTTATTAAACAGAGCGTGACGACAAAAAAAAAAATCCATCAACCGCTTTGATCAATTTTATTCATAAAATACCTCAAGTCATTCATAAAAAGATGCACTTTGACTATTTTACTCTGTCTGCAGCACAATGAACTGAACTGGCATGAAAGGTAATATGGAAACAGTCAGAAGAACAGTTGTAAGTGTAGACATGCTGTAAAGCACCTTCATTAAAATGAAACTTATTTTCAACCAACACAGTCCTTTAAATACTCTTTTTTTCCCCTTTTTCTAGGTAGTAGGTAGGTGGTGATGGTTACTTGTGTATTTCACTGCAATTATTATTTAAATTATATTCCAGAAAATATCATTGCAGCAGACTTCTCAACATTATCAGGCTAGAGTAAAAGAGAAATAAATTCTACAAAGTAAATAGTCCAAGATTTCTGGTTTACATGCCATTAACTATCAATTACCCAGTTTCATACTGTATTAATAGGAAACCAGTGAAAAGACCATGGACTTTGGAGTGGGACTAATCTAGGTTCGAATCCCACTTTTTCCATTATGTGTGTGGCTGTGCAGCTCTAGGCAAAGTACAGAACCTTCTTACAAGTGGGGAGAGCAGTATGTGCTGTACAGTCTGTTCATGAAGATTAAATGACAGTCTACATGAACCGGTATCAAATTCATGCTTTCTGTCCATTCAGTAAAAAAATGAATAAATAAATGAAACAGAAATCCTCTCTCAGTAGAGACAGAGTGCAAATAAATACTAAATGAACACCCACTATGGCTAGGCACTGTGTTAGAAAGGAAATTGAATAAAAGTATAAGCGCATCATTTTTTAAAATATAAACACAGTATAAAAGTATAAATAAAAGTTTGTGATATTGCACAAACTATGTTAAATGTTTATTAGAGCTATTTGTTACTGTCAAAATTTAAAGGCCTGACAAATTTTGATATTGTCATAACACATATAAGTGAGAGATTTTTAAGAACAGATTTTTTTTTTCTGTGTTTGAAACTAAGATATATAACTATGGTACATATGTTGTGAGTAAAACAAAAATAAATTTTTACATCACTAACATTTCCAGTTCATCCATGGTGAAATTATACATTGTTTCTGAAACCCAGAAAAATACAAAGAACATCTATAAAACTCAGAAATGATCTATACTTACTTTCTTTGCATCTTATTATGGACTCAATACTGTGGCCTGGCCTGCTGTTATGTGAACAATACAGAAATCTCCACTGATTTAACATCACCATAAAATTATATACACACATATCTGTTAGGACCAAGGGGCTGTTTCCCAGTTTGGAAACAGATTTATCAATGTTGTGACCTTACCTGGTAAATAGACTGCTGTGCCTTCCACTGACTCTTCATTCATGCCAATCAGGAAACTGGTTTCATTAGAAGTTTCCAGAAGGTAAAGTGATGGTGTTGGGAGGGAGATATTTAACTCTGCAGTGCGCACTGTTGCCTGATAGTCGGAATCGAGAATTCTCGCCGACACTTGCTGTTCTGCGGCTGCACCAGGGGACTCCTGCCCTCTGGTCAGAGGTGCTTGGGTTTCAGAGCTGATTTGCAGAGACGAAGGGTCAGTGGGCTTCTCGGAAGTCTGCGGGCTGGGCTGAGGCACCACACCGGCCTCAGCCCCACCGGTCGCAGAAGTGGACGCAGAGAGTGGCCACAGGGAAGCACCTTTCGACTCGATTTCACCCGCCGCTGTGACAAGAGCTCCAGCCTCAAGTGTTCTCATACTAGAAAATACTCCAGGAAGCTGAACGTTGGTTTTGTTTGGGGAATCTTGGAGAATCTCAGTTCCCTCTTCAGCAATCAGTTCTGTGGGGGAAGCTTCTATCTGTTCTAATAAGTTAGGTTTATTTTCATCTTCTGAAGGTTCTGGTTCTGTGTCAGGAGGTAAGGATGGAGGCCCAGTGACGCGAGAGTACTCTTCGCTTGATGGTTTGAAAGTCACTTCAATATTTGCAAATTTTCCTGGGGATATATGAGTCGTGCCTGCATTTCCACTGGGCAGAGCACTCGGCTGAGGGCCCTCCGTGTGTCCAGAGGCTCCACTGCCTAAGTGGACGGTGAACGGAGATGATGTCTCAGAGGACAACTCTGCAAAGGCCCAAACGGCTGACGTCGTATCGGTGTAATCTGGGGGATTCGATCCTTCCATCACAGTAGGTGCTTCTGTTAAACTCGGAGCCATGATGTGGACAGTACCAATACTTACGTGGGATGTAGAATCTATCAGTGCCTCCCCGGCTCCTGAAGAGAATTCTGGCTGAAGAGAAGGACCTACATATTTCTTTTCTTCATCCTCTTCCTGTGTTCTTTCCAAATGGCCCATTGTTGATATTACTTCACTTTGGTCTGCAATCGCTTGACCATCAGACAAAGTGCTTGATTCAAAGATGTCTTCCAGGATTTTTGTCTCCGTTTTTGGTTCTTTGATATTTGGATGACCTGTGGCAGACTTACTAGGAATGGGCAGGGACGTTGCTGTGGGAAGCAAAATATCTAATTCTGTTTCCGTGCTTGGGAGGGGGATTCCAGTTGTGAAGATAAAGCCCGTGTGATCAAACTGGCTTCTGTCTTCAGAAGCTGTGGATTCACTGTGTGTTGCCTGAGTGTAGCTAGCCAGAAGAGTATCACCAGAGCCTTCCAAGTGCTCCTCAGTTAACGAAAGGTTAACAGCTGCCTCATCCTTCTCTTGAATTTGAGCACTGCCTTCATTATTGACATGTGGTCCTGATGGCGACTCTGGATCTATGTCTGTTTGCATTCCAAGGATGTCTTCATACATGGGTTTAGTGTGATCAATATCTATGATAGTATTTTTATCGGATGTCAGCTCAGGTAGAATTTCAAGGATGGTACTCTCTGTAATTGTCAGTAACAAATCCTTGTCCTCTTTGTCCAGATCTATAATAATATTTTCGGTGGCTTTTTTTCTGTCAGGTTTTAAGGTGGAATCCTCAAATCCCCCGAAATGGTCGAGGAAAGTATCTGCACCTTCTGTGGACCTCTTATATGATACTGTATTTGACAGTGTGCTCGTTGGATCTGGGGAGCTTTCATTCTTCTCTAGATGAAGAGGTAGCACCATGGAAACTGTCGGGAATCCATCCACAGTAATGGCTTCAGCACTTGAAACCTCAGGATGTTTTTCCAGGGATCTATTAGAAATAAAGGTGGTGTCTCCTTTTCTGGTTGCCTGAGTAGTTCCAGAAGTGTGGATTAAATCAACTCTATCTAGTTCCCCAGATCCTTCTCCAGAATGTTCATAAAACAAGTCAGATGATTTTGGTGCCGATGTAACGGATCCTCTGGCCATTCCAGGACCATAAGTTCTAGCCAGAAAGTCCATGGAAGAGGTTATTGTTTCTCTAGTTTCTGCCACTGAAGAATTCTTGTTAGAGACTTGTTCAGTAGTAGATTGTGGTTGACTACTCTGGATTTCTTCTTCCCAACTGTGAGTCTGATTTTGAGGATGTTCAGTGTCTGTGGAGAAAGTGAGAGGTGCCATAGAGGGTCCTGCTGTCCTGGTGAAACTTAAAATTTCTAGTAAGGTTGTGCTGGATGCTGTCTCACTAACTTCAGAGATGTTGTCTAATTTAGAAATGAGTGGTCTAACTTCATTTGCTACATTTTCCATTCCCTCATAGTCTTCAGTGGTATCTCTTGAGATGCTAGTTTCTAAACTTTCCACTTGAGAAGTCTGAGGATAGAATGTGCTAATGATTTGTTCCATTTCAGTAAAATTCACTGATACTATAGTAGGCAAAATGTCTTCTCCTGATCCCAGGCCAGAGAATAAATCTGGCTCTTGAATTAGTGGCTTCATAACTTTGGGAAAGGATTTTATAGTCTCATCCTCTTTGATTGGTGAATCTGTAACTATACTTTCAGCTAGTATAGATTCAGTCACTGAGGCAGTAGCCAAGAAGGAATTGGATTTTTCAGTAACTTCTGGGAGAGTAATATAGGGTTCCATACCCTTTACTCCTGGATCTTGAGTAGAAGTGTCAACAAGGGAAATGCCTTCTTCCTCCATTTCCTCATCAGTACTGTAAGTTTTCTTTGTTGTCAGTGTAGAATAATCTGTGGTGTGAAATCCAGTTTCAATAAATGTTTTTAAATCAAAGACTGTTTGTTCTGGTGCAACAGAGATTTGGGGGGATTCAACAGATTGTTGTTCTTGAATATTTTCCTCTGTTGCTGTTTGGCTTTCAATTTCTGATCTTACAGGACTGACTTCTTGCCTGGACCACGATTTGGTGGGCTCCATCGTCTGGGGAAAACCCATGGAAACCATGCCATCAACCTTCACTTCCCCCTTTGCTGTAAGAGCTTCAGGACCTTCAGCTTCTGCTCTTGGTAAGTTAGTGGGTCTCTGATCAGCTTCTTTGATAGTACCTTCTTCTCCCAAAACTTGGTCTGTAAATGGAGATTCTGTCCCAAGAACATTTCCCACAGCACTGGGAAACACTTGGTCAGAGCCGCTGACTGAGACCACATGCTCCCCGGAGCCCTCAGCTGAGGCTGTGAACTCCTCCCAAGGGAAGGCTGACGTGCTGACCAAGGTCCCACCAGGCCCTTCTGAGTCAGCTGTGGGATGGATGTGACCTGAAGTAGGTATTGCCAGTGGTGTGATCGGGGTATCATTGAATGCTGCATCCCCAGAGCCTTCCATCATTACTGTTTCCCCTTTTGTTTTGGGATCGAACACTGCTGAGTGTTCTAAGTCACCACTGAAATCTTCCTCCAGAGGAAAATCTGTAGAGAAGCCCTTTATTTCTGTCCCATGGTTTGGCTCTCCTAAAACCTCTGGTATAAGGTTTTCCTTGGATGTTTGGCTTATAATTTCAGTAACCTCTCTGTCCATTACGGTACTCAAAGGTAATCCTGTTGGCTGAGAAGGAAATATAGTTTCTATGGGGGGAGACAAAGTGCCAGCTGTTTCCTTGTTAATTTGAATTTCAGGCTCTACTTTTAATGAAAACGAAGAAAGAGTGGTGATTTCTGGGTCAGCAGCAGCTTCGCTAGAGCCCTGCTCCATAAAGATGGAGACAGGGCTCCCTGGGACAGCGGACAACCCTTCCTGAACCCCGGGTTGACTGCTACTGCTAGGCTCAGCAGTCTGTGCCCCCAGATTGTCGAAAATATTTTTTTCTGGAAAGACCAGATCAGAACTTGTCATTTCCCTTTTAGACTGTGTGGGTGTTGTCAAGGACATAAAACTGTTTCTGGTAGCAGATACTGGGTCACTAGATGTAACTTCACTTGAGTTTTCTAATTCAGAGGGTACAATTAATGGATCAGATCTCTGTGTAGGCAAAGGTAACTGAACTGTAGAAGCTGTACCTGTAGATCCTTCTTCCTCATCTTTCCTTTGTGTTTCCTCAAGAGATATACTGAAAACCCACTCAGAAGTGCCTGTTTCCCTTACAAATTTGGTGGGTACTACTTCTGTAGAAGGTTGTTCAGAAACTAAGTAAACGGCGGTTGCAGGAACATCACCAAGGTGGTCTGTGATCACTATCTTGCCAGTGTCTAATGTAACCAGTGTATCTGTAGTATTTTTCTGTGATAAATCGGTTACCAGAGTGAACATTTTATCTCGATCGTCCTCTGCTTCCCCGGAGCCTTCCGGAATCAAAATTGAAGGAACCCCGGAGAGGTCTACAATCTGTCTAGGGGTCATTTCCACCCAGTTTTCCACAGTGGACAATGGGTCATCAGGCCTGGGATTTCCTGTTACAGAAACTGATGCTTCCTCCAAAACATTTGCTGACATAGAACTTGGAGCTGTACTTGGAGTATATGTGATAGATGTACTTCTGTCTGCCTCTTCACCAAACGTTCCTTCTGTAGCCCTTGAAATGATCATTTCTGGGGATTCTTGGTGGATGGCTGCATCTCCAGAAGACTCTTCAGGAAACAGAGGTACAGGCTCAGCATGTTCGTGCCCCACATTATCAAGTTCAGGACCTTTCTCCGTGGCCGATTCTGGTCCCTCCGTGGCTTCGCCCTCACGCAGCGGGGCTGTGGGGTAAACATCAGGCTCTCCACTTGAAAAATGTTCTGGTATTTCAGGGAAAGTCTCAGGCGTCCATGTCATTTCCAGCGACTCAGTTGTTTCTTTGAATTCATTTGGCTGCACAGCCGTCGATGACTCAGTCTCAGACATGAGAAACCCATGAGCATCGCTCTCACTGCTGTCGGAGAAGCTCTGAGAAGGTGCAACACTTTCAAACTGGCCACGCCTAGCTTCTGCCGCCTCTGGGTCCTTGGGCACAGTGGTGACCAGCTGTTTCCCATTGATGTACTGCACGGACGGGGTGGTCGTTACATCCGTAGCATTTGCACAGTCTTCCTCTTCCTCTTCCTCTTCTTCACTGTGGTAGAGATTTAGGTCAATTAACTCAGGCAAAATGGCAGCGATTAGGTCGTGCTCTGAATCTGCTTCTTCACTACAAGGTTCATCTTCTTTAGACTCTGAATCTATTGGATGACCAATTACACTCAAATCACTCATTCGACCTGAAAAAAACAAAGAGTTTTCACAATACTTAAATAAAACATGTGCAGCATATGACAGAAGAAAACGACAGCAGGCTGCAGAAACACTCACACCCAAGGACGGATTCAAGTCTTTTCATGTTAAGTACAATCACCCTTCTACACATGGTTCTCGGTCGTCAGGTTTGCTGTTTTATATTAACAATGGGAAAACTAAATCCAATTTCAGATTATAGACAGGGTGCGAAAATGCTTTAACACATTTAACAAAGCAGCGTCCATAAAATGAAACAAGAAAGCATACATATACATTGTAATCATGATGTGGGAATTCATCTTTGTGTGAACTGGGAAAAAAGGGAAAAATTAAGACCATTTTACCAAATCATACAGAAAAAGTAATTAATCATCATCCTTCATGTAAAGGGATGCATAGAAACCCTCTATGCCATAAGGAAATGAGAAGAGATTCCTTCTGGCCTCTTGTCATGATTTGTCCTAAAGAAGACTGTTTTCAGGAAAGTAGAGGAGAGGTTTCTTTATAGCCCTTTCACAGTGCAGGAAAAACCCCTCCCCAAAGCGACAGCATTAGCGCCAGCTGCGGCCCAGACACAGGGCAGGAAGTCTCAGATGGGGCGCTCTGTGCACGCATAGACGGTTCACCAAAAGCACCAGGAGGGAAGAGCCCTCCACCCTTTCCATCTTTATCCTTCAAGACAGATGACCTGGATTGGGTCTGTTATAGTTCTTTTTAAAACATTTTCTCCAAAGGAAGTTTAAGAGGCACATCTAAACATTTGAACCAGCATACTTTAAATAACAGATATCCTTAGAACATTCCCTAGATCATAAATTGCCATAGGGTACAAACTACTAAGCCCAGTTGACTTTTTCTGCCTCCAGAAATACACCAGCAAAAGCTCCTTGTCTGGGCATCAGGAATGAGGAAATTCTGGGCCCTCACTCCCATTCGAGTGGAATTCAATTTTCCTGGAAAAAGATCCTGCCACTACGGCTGCCCTTTTCCTGGCATCACAGCCGTGTGCAAAGGCGCCCTTGGGCGCGCTGACCCATGAAGACCAAGTAAGGCATGGAAGATTGCGCAGAGTCTAATTTTCCACCCCCCAAAATACTGTTGCAAAATTACTTTGAGCCTAGTCCTGATCCATGCCACACATGCTCAGCCTGAACCCGAGAAGCTTACAGGAGGAATAATTATGACGGAGCCACACCTGCCCCATTGGCAGGGCGATTGTTCCTGTTGTAAGACGCTGCTTCCTTCTGTGTATGAAAGATCAGCATCTAGCATTTACTGAGAGTCGGAAAAGAAAAGACCCACTGAGCAGGAACCAGTTTGCTTATATTTTTTTTGCATCAAAATAAATACAGACATATATGAACTGTCAATAAAAACTCCACAAAGCTCCTTCTATGTGTTTAAATATGATTTGTTAAAAAAAAAAAAAAAGCACACGCCTTGGCCAGTTTGGCTCAGCGGTTAGAGAGTCGGCCTGCAGTCCAGAGAGACCCGGGTTCGGTTCCCACTAAGGGCACGTACCTCGGTTGCAGTATGTCCTCAGTCCTGGTTGGGTTGTGTGGGTGGCAACCACTTGATGTGTCCCTTTCACATCGATGTTTGTCTCTCTCTCTCTCTCTTGTCCTCTCTCACCCTCCCACTCTATCTGAACAAAAAATGGAAAAATGTCCTCGAGTGAGGATAAAAGAAAAAAAACACAAGACCTTTATGTAAGTAGAAGATATTACTACATTTACATTTATCCCTTTCATTCAAACAATAATAAAAACAAAAAGAGAAAACATCTCTGCATCCCATCTGCACTGTATCACCTCCAAAAATACTATTTTTGCAGGGATGGCTTACTCTTACCCCGATTACACATCATTCCTTATTAACTTCACACATTGCAGTTCATTTTCTGTCCCTCAATCCCAGTCCATGCCATACACCCAGCCTTTCAACTATGTAAACGAAGGCTCGTGGTTATTCAAATGAATGAAAAAATATTTCAACCATAAGAGAAGTGAGGTCATTGCATAGCTCTAGTATAACATAAAAATATACCACAAATACAGATGATTTCTGCCATACGTGTTGCAACTACTCTTGATTGCCAAACAAGAAGATGACTAAATACCTTACCTTTTTTCCAAAAAACATATTTAACCGAATAAGTTTATCCCATGTCAAATCACTAAAGTTGTTACAGTGATCTTATAGTGCCTCACGTTGTATATGTTTTAACAGAAGACACAACAAAGTTTTCGGATAACACTTTTTATATGGCTTGGGGTAAAGCCTCCCCTTTCGCTATGATGAAAGAATGAGAGAATAAATATGCACACACATATATAAGTGTGAGAGAGGAGACATTTCAAATGTGTCTTGTACAAATGAGTCTCTTGAAATATCACATCACTAATTCTATCTACCCACCCACGTAAGTAGTCTCTCACTGCTAATACTATTTGAACATAGCTGAGTTAAGCCAGACTTGGTTAAACTATTCTGTACTTTATAGGATTTAACTGTAGCTTAAAAAATGTGCCTCTCTTAATGTTTATACACTTGTTTTACCTTCAACCCTTTTCATTAGGTATAAATAAAACTAGAATTCGCATTTAAGAAATATCACACACCCAGACACTTAATTCACATAGTACCTTTCATTTAAATACAGAAAGAATTGCCCTGGCCAGTTTAGCTCAGTGGTTAGAGCATCGGCCTGCAGATCAAAGGGTTGTGGGTTCAATTTCCAGTCAAGGCGTGTACCTGGGTTGCAGGTTCGATTCGGTTGGGGTCATGTGGGAGGCAACCAATTGAAATGTCTCTCTCATATTGATGTTTCTTCCTTTTTCTCTCTCTCTCCCTCCCTTCCACTCCATCTAAAAGTCAATAAAAAAAAAAATCCTCAGGTGAGGATTAACAAAAATAAATAAATAAATACAGAAAAAATTTTAAGTGAGAAACATGGATCTGTGTCAAGAATATAAAAAAATCCCTACCACATTTTAATCTTTTTATAAATAAAAGAGATAAATCTAACTATTCAGCCAAGCTTCTCCAGCCTAACACAAGGATCAATAAGGAAAGAACTGTTCAGTATTACCTATTTATAACCTTTTAGACCACGAATAGGGTAAAAATACTCATTGTTATTATAGAATTTGTATGGGTTTCTAAATAAATGTCTTACTTTTAAAAACAATATTTAGAAAAACAAAACATATAAACATATGCCATGAACTTCTTAGTGAATAATTATACAAAGGGGTTCCATCAGGTATGATGTTGGTAGCTCTAAAAATAAGTAGAGCGAAGAAAAGCAGAGAGAGAGAAGATATTAAGGTTGCCAGTGTATCAAATGTCAACTTGTCAAAGAAACTGACACATTATAACATTCACCTGAATGTTTTACAAAAGAATGAATACCTTAAAAACAAAATGTTTTTCTAGAAGAACTCTGAGAATAAACAACTAATATAATAATTTCATTGCCTATCAACTCTTATTCATTCAATTAAATAAAGAGCCTGGCATTCACTTTACATTCTCTAATTTTAGTTCCAATAAACAAAGTATAACATTCTTGGAGTCCATTTTCCACGTGGATAATGAATGCTAATATTTCTTATTACTCATAAATCTATGAAGATTTCCCTTACCACGTTAAACCATCATATCAGAATATTTCACCAAAGACTCAGCTGTTAGGTGCAGTATATTCCTTTTCCTAACCTAAACAAATATCACAATATTTCAATCATAGCAAATTAAACCAAGCAGAGAGATGATCTCTGCATATTCTTCACAAACACGGCTCAGCTTGAAACTGGTTTTGCACGCAAAATTTAATTCCACCTAATTGTAGTCTCTTCACGGGCCAAATAATTGTACAGCATTTACTAAGCACCTTTATGTATCAACAACACAGCAGACACTTGGCTTTACAAAGGCCCAAGACTTTCAAGGTATCTTCCAAATACCATCCTCTCTGTCTCTCCCCACCCCTCTCTCTCCTCTCTCAGAAAGAGATGTTCTTGCCAATAGGTTTGAGAAATGACCTTACTAAACTCTTTTCACCCTATTTTAAAAGGAAACATTTTGAGTGTACATATTGCAAACGTTCTAAACATTACATTTAAATTATGATTTATTTTTTCACCTGCCTCCCAAGTATCTGATCTCATTTGCCTTCAGAATTGTAGAGAACATAGAATCATTTTAAGTTCTTTTATCTGATGTTTCTCACTATACCACAAAGCTGGCAATGACCACAGAGCTATCAGCACATCAAAATAAACAGTGATTGAAGAGAAAAGATTTATTTTTAAAAGTGCTCACTTGATATGTTGCAAAAATAGTCCACTAAATGGAAATCCTTAAATAAAACAAAGATACAAAATGAGAGTTGAACTTATTTTGTGTCCTTTCTCTTAAAGGAGTCTCACAATTAAGAGATAAATATTCATGGTTTAAGTAAGTTTTGTCAGCTTCCAAATGGTTTCATTGGATTTCGTAAGGTTAGTTTGAGGGTGAGGGAAATGTTAATCGCTTAGGGCTTTGAAGTAATTTTTTTCTGCCATTAGATTCTCTACAGATCAATTTACAATTTATTTTCTCAGTGTGGCCAATTTGTTCTCACACTTAAATTTTCTCCTGGGCATGGTGGTATGAAGTCTGTCTAGCAGAGACAAGTGAATTCTTTCTTGCCACTGGACTCCTGTCATTGCATCCTTCATCTATCCCCTATTTCTATTTGCTCTCCTTTGTTTATTCAGTTGCCGAAATTACTTCTTCATCTCCCTTTCTTATTACTACCTCCCACTGACCACACATGTTATCAGAAAGCTGAAAGAGCTATAATGATTGCAAACTGGACAAGTTTTTGTAGGGTGTGACCAGGGAGGGTGGGGGACACCTGTGCTATTGTAAAAGCAGGTACATTATTCCACAATCGTGATCTGCTCTAGGTACGAATAGTGAACCTGATGGAGTAATT